TTTTAGTATAGCTCCAACAGGGAACCAGCAAACCTGACAGCCCTCCAAGCCCGAAGCTGTAGGCTCCCATGAAACATCTGAAGCGACGCCCCAAAGCCCACTTCACAGATCTGCAGAACCTCAACTCCCAAATCCTGAGCCTTACAAATCTTAAGGTACTTTTCGGTGTAAGAAACCCCGAAGCCCTATACCGGGAACATAGGGCTCTGAAAGTGACTCAGGCAAATCTCCTGGCCAACCACAGCTTGGCCGCAGGTTTCCGGAGCAAGCTCCCGGCTCCGTCGCCCATCTACATTAGCTGTTTCAGTGTGTATGAGCTCCGGCGGCGGGGGGGGGGGGGGGGGGGNNAGGGGGGGGCTTTAGGGGGGCTAGAGGGCATTTTGCGTTGCAAGCCGTGTGAACAGGCCCGGTAGCTGGAGTCCTGGGGCAAACAAGACGGATCAGGGATTGATCTTGTCGTCGCATGACGCGGGGGTGACGGACACGACCATGCCGTATCAAAGCCTGCACCAACATCGGAACACCGTTTAGGCTGCTGAACATTCATTCAGCCGTTCATATTCACGGTGCCATACAAGGCCAAACCAAACGGACGCCGTGAACCTCTCCAAGTTCGTGGAGTCTGCGTGCCTGAGCTGAAAAACTCGAGCGGTCTTCTTCATCAGCCATTACACTAAATGGTACACACGTACATGTACAGAACAGTGATCATTCATAAGTCTGTCTGCCTACCTGCCTGTCTGTCTATCTCTCTGTCTCTATCAGTCTGGCTGTTACTCTGTCCGCTTGTCTGTTTGTCTGAAAGGCTGTCTGAAAGGCATGCATGTATGTATGCCTACATGATCCTACATGTATGCACGTATGTCTGTATGTGTGAAGGTATGTAGATACAAGCGTATGCGGGTTTGTATACATGAAATCCTGCGTGATCATATGGTGTTGCAACATGCCTATGTATTTATGCATGCACGATCGCATACGTCTAGCCTAGCATGTATACAACCCACTGTCAGAATTTCGAGTTTTGCGTGCAGGCATTTCCAAAGTCTGGTGGCCTTGAACCTGGTGCGAGACTACGCGTCGCTGGGGGCGGAGACACAGAAAGCAGTCCTCGAGGCACTTGGCTAGCAGCAACGGATGCTGTCGAAGCACAGTGTCCATTCTGGTGTGACATGCTAGCTGCATTCCCCATTCCTGAGCTTTTGGGGTCACATAGAACGGTGCCAAACGAGTTGTTGTTGCAGCCAAATACTATGTTTCTGCACGGTCTCGTTGCATCTGTTTGCACTTTCGTAGCCGGCGTAGCCACAAGCCGCAGGCCGTCAGTTCTGTGGTGGGATCGGCCCGGACGGTGGTTCACGAAGTGCGGCGATCGAAGGACGCCTTCCTTAGCAACCTTGATGTTGTGCTTTTCAGCGTCTTATACCGACGGAAAGTTTGGCTTGCAGACCTTGTTCGTATGTGCCTAGTTGTCGGAGAGCCTTCTTGCCCGGCATGCGCTTTCCGAACCAGGGTCTTAGAGGATGTTTTTCGAACAACACCACCCTTGTGGCCCAAATACTCAACTTTTAAGTCGCCGGTTGGCGCTTGAGTTGTTTCGTAGTTCTGGCGGCGTGGGCAGGGGCAGGCACCTGCTGCCGGACATGTACAGGCTCCAAACAACAACAGGCCGTAAGGTTCGGGTTGTATGATTCCGGTTCCAGGCGCATCTTGAGAGTTGGTTCCAGGCCGTGTCACATGGGAGTTTCCGAAAATAAGGGGTACCTTATTTTGGGGTCCTTATAATAAGGATCCTACTATTTAGGGTACTATATTAGGGTCCCCCATTTTCGGGAACCCCCGACATCTTGTCACTTCGGTCTTTGAGGACACTATCGTCAAGGATGCGACCTCGGTAGCCACTTGGCCAACAAAGGCTGTCTCTCCAAGCGCCTGAGATCGTCCTGTCTGGAGATTACACGGAGAGTCCGTGGCAAATTTTGTACTCATCAACATCCAAGGTTAGGGTGGCCGCTTCCAAGGTGAAGGAGCTTTGCAGATACATGCCCCTGAGCAGGGAGAGCATGTGTTGAGGTAATGAAATCGCAGGGCCAAACTAGAGCTTCAGGAGCAGTTTGCGCTGGTGGCCACAAGTGCTCTCGTCGCCGGCACGGATGCGAAGGACTCCTTTTAACTATGCCCTATACGCCTACAGTGCCTATAGGAGTACGCACGTTCGCCCCACTTCGGCACGACATAAGGCAGTCAGAAGAAGAACTAGAAGTAAAGCAGCAGTTGCATGCATGAACTGCAAGAAGTTGGGTAGCTCCAACTCCAAGATGGACGGGAAGCTCCACTGCTGACCACTGGCCTCAGATCTCAAAGCGAAATTCGCCACTGTGATTTCCCGGTCCGCAGGACGCGCTGAACTATGCATCCTCCATGTATTTGTACGCGGCAGGTGCCGGGCACGTGGTATTCTGGCATGGACCCTTTGACTCTAACATGTCGCCTGGGAGTAAATTCTGAGGCCCAGCCTTTTTCGAGAGACGGACCCAGTCTTCGTTGCCTAACTCTTGGAGCAAGATGTGCGTAGCTTGCAGGTGGCTGCGTTGGGTGCGCCATCCTTATGGCCCTGGTGGCGTTCGCATACGCCTCTCGGACCTTGCAGGGGTGAGGTCTCCCTTGAACCTCCTTTTTTTAAAATGTTCGTTCTTTTTTGCGTTAAGTTGGATTGAGTAGTTATGGACTTGGTGGCTCTGAGGCCTGCTATCTGGAATACATCTTCGAGAATCAGGGCATCGCGCGAGTATACGAGATCGCTGCAAAGGAGCGACAAGGCTTCTGCAAGGAATGCGCGGGGGGAGGGGGGGGATGAGCGGGACTTCCTCTCTGCTACTGCACTCCATCGGTGGCCACCGCCACTGGCCATGGATGAATGCTAACTACATATAATTACATCATTTACATCTCCTGGCATCTCCACTTGAGAGGCTGCTGCTGGTGCTGTGGCGGGCTGAGACATCTGAACAGTCGGTGGGAAGACTTGGATCCGAACGGCTGCAGACTTCGTGAAGATGTCTGCAACACGAACGGTCAGAAGAAATCGAGCAGCGGCTCAGGCATCGACTCCATCGGTCACTTTGTGACCCCGTGGCAGCTTGCAATCTTGCAACAAAGTTGCGCGAGTGTGGGTCACTTCTTGCTCTGACGACTCTTGCTACGCATGTTTATCGACGCGTAGCTGCTGCTTGAGGGATGCAACCACCCGCAGCTGCGGGCAGGTACATGTCGTTGGCTTCTACTTGCTGATCTTTCTTCAAGATGCCGTCGCTTGGCAAATCTTGGAGACCTGCTCCCAGCCACCTCTTTGTACTGCATTCGAGTCCTTGCTCCCCCCACGCCTCTCGCCAAAAGGTCTCGATACTGCTGGTGGTGGCCTCAGATGGAGACGTACCACTTAAAGACTTATAGCTTATGCCACTGCAAGTCTTTTCGCTCTGGCTCTGACGACCCCGTCGTCGTCGTCGCCGTCCTCGTGACTGTCGTTAACAGTGGCAGTGCCAGTGGCAGTAGCAGTGTCGTCGTGGTCGCCGCCATCGTCCTCGTCGCAGTATTCGTAGCAGCCGTAGTTGTCGTGGTTGTGAGCCTCAAACAACAGCTCGTCTGACACTCTGGGTGATCCTTTGAGATCACTAGCACTAATCAAAGTTTTTCAGGTGCTTGTGGCCCTGTTCCTCTGTGTGGTTGGAAACGTCCAGCTGGGACTCCAAATCGGCTGCGACTTTGCCCCCATGCTCTCGGACAACGCGCCACTGGGACTGTGCTTATAGGGCTTGTATAGCCGGCATAGCCGTGAACAGCAGGTGTACTGAGTGTCCCTCACGAGAGAGCTTGCCTTGGAAATCCAACGGCTCCTTTTGCGACAAGCTGCTGCGTTTGAGGGCCTGCACTGCCGCGATGGGAAACTTCAGCACAGCCTTGCAGCGGGATGTCCTCCATGGTAAGGACCGTCGACTGCCGTTGATAGCACGGGCGATCAGCAGTGATCATTCCGTTGTGAAGCTTCGTGTCTCCTGCAAGCAGTCGCGAAAGGATTGCGAAGGCGCTGGGACGTTGATCTGCGAATCCGTAGCAGGCCGGTTTGCTTGTCTCAACTGCTGTCAGCTAGTCACTTCATGTCACTGGAGCTAGTGTTATGGAAGCCTTCTTGGAAGCTATTGTGGAAACACAGGCAACCCCGGTATGATACGGATCACGATGCTGCTCGGCAGCATGATCCTTGCATTCAGGGTCCTGCTAGCATGCACCGTGCTACCTCTTCCTGGATAGGGTTTCTAGACTTCATGCGGGGTGTAGCTTCAAATCTGGATCTTGCAACGGTGGGGCTTGCCTGCAGGGACAGAACTGTTAAACGAGCACAGGGAATCTTGTTTGTCGAATTTGTCGATAGTTTGATGGGTTTTGTGGGTATGTCTGCAGGTTTGAAAAAATGTTCCTTTTTGAGACATTCATCATCGTGATTCGTGTCTAAGTCGTGGTTGAACTTTACAGTCACTTTATAGCCTTATCACCTTTAGGATTAGCCTTTTTGATATTAGGGGTACTAAAAGTTAAAATTTTAGCCAGGTAATAAAGAGCAACCCAGAAGTGTCCATGCTTGTGGTCCCAATCCTAGACCCATCAGCTTTCAGGAATACTGTTCGAGCTATCATTCCCACACCTTCTAAGCAAGTCCTTGTGAAAGCAAAGGCAGGCCTGTCGCAGAACGCCTTCGTCGCATGGGGCAGCATAAACGAAATGCGACTATTTTCACTACAAGCCATGACTTATCGTGGTAGTTCCAAGTCTTCAATTCGGCACAGCACAGGATAGCTGCAGCTGTGGGTGCGCTGGCATCGTGCTGCATCCCACGCCGCCTCATCGAAGCTTGGAGAAATTGTGAGGGTCAGCGCCTGTGCAGTGTAATGCCGTAGATATAGAGGATTGGAGACTTTGCGGCTCTTGCAGCCCGTTTCTCTGCCACGAAACCCCAGCTGCAACCCCTGCACAGCGTTCTTGCAGAAGCCTGCTGACAAAAGCTCATGCACAAGTTGTCTTGCTCGGGAGGGTGGGGAATTCTCGGCTAGGCCCTAAACCCTAAACCCTATATCCGAAGCCCTAAACCCCGAGCCCGAAACCCTAAGCCCCAAACCCCCGGAAGCCACGCTTAAAGGCTCTGTCCCTGAGCGCTCAGCAGAGCATCGAGACGGCCCAGGCCAGGCTCCGACACTTTCGCCTTTAGGGTTTAGGGTTTAGGGTCTAGACCGAGTAATATAGAAGCCTAAATCACTACTCGTACCAATATTACTGTTAGGGGGGTTCAGGGTTTAGGGTTTAGGGTTTAGGGTTTAGACCGAGTAATATAGGAAATCACTACTCGTGCCAATATTACTGTTAGGGGGGGTTCAGGGTTTAGGGTTGAGGGTTTAGGGCTTAGGGTTCAGGGTTTAGACCGAGTAATATAGAAGCCTAAATCACTACCAATATTACTGTTAGGGGGGGTTCAGGGTTTAGGGTTTAGGACCTATATATGCTATTATTTTGGGGGTTCCTTATGATAAAACATACCATAAAAAACCCAAAACCCTATTCTAACGATTAAGGCCCATGCCGTAGCCCCGATGCGAAGTCATCTACGATACGCTGTAGTATCAATATCGATATGGAGAAGCCCAATTGCAGCAACACCGGCTACTCAGCGTAATGGCTGCGCACCGCATGCAGCATGCAGCACCGAAGAATCTCTTCGGAAGGGCTGCACCGAATCTCTGGGGACAACCCCACTCCATTCCAAACCTCACAGCCTGAAAGAATGCCTCTCAACCGTGAGTGCCAACCTGTCATATTTGGTGCTGTCCATTGAGAAATTTGAGTGTCCAAAAGAGTTTGACAGGGAAGCCAAGAGGCTCAATATATATATATATATACCCTAAACCCTAAACCCTAAACCATCTCTCCAAAGGCTACTTGCAACCGCTGCAGTCTCCAGCTCCGTGAATCAACAACGCTCACTAACTGGCTCGCTGGTAGCAAGCTATCTAACCAACTAACTTTTCAACTGACTGACTGACTGAGGGTAAATTGTTTGTTGTTTAAACGGCCGGCTAAATAATATCCGTGCAACACATACACACATATTATGGTACTCAAATACACGCTGCTTGTTTAACTATCCTTCCAGGCCATCGTGGCCTGGAAGCATGGGCTCAGCGAAGCTGCTTCATCGGAGGAGCCGTCACTCCTTCAGATGTGTTAGTTTCCTGCGAAGCCTTTGTTTCGGCAGAAACTAGCTGCTGCGCCGCAGACCCACGACCCCATTTTCCCACCTTCCTAGACGATGTGTTAGTTGGACTGACATGGCGAAGGCGGAAAGAGTGTGAGAGCCCGCCAGCAAGCACAGTCGAGAATGCAGATTTCCGAGCGGAAAATGATCGCTGCTGTTGATGCCAATACATAAACCCTTGTAAGGGCACTTTAAAATTGATTCCATCGTCTTGGCAGTTTGGTGGTTCAGCCAAAGTGCCTGCATGCTCGTCGGCTGGGAAGATGCACTGTCGACACTTTGTAGACATTGTAGCCAGTTGCCACGATTCGTTGGCTCTTGTTTTGAAGTACCAGTATTACAGTATAGCAGAGTTGTACCTTCACACACATGATGAGAACCGGCTCAAGCTTAAGCTCCGGGATTTGATCATCCGGCATGGGCTCATCACAGGGCAGCGCCCAGAGCAGTGCCACTTCGCAGGGTGCCGACGATGGCATGGCCTCCTGCAACACAGGAGTGCACCACTGCTCCTTTCCTATGTATGTGGTCAAGGTGTCGGACTTTCTGGACATGGAGGGTGTTCCTGAACCACACCAGGTATTGCGGCGGAAGGGTTTACTTCACGAATGGCAGCCATCCATGTTCGTCATCTTCGTATCGCACCAGTGGTTGGGCACGGGGTCTCCAGACCCGTCTGGGCAGCAGATGACTGTGTTGCGGCATGCTTTACAGTCGTGGATAGACGGATCCATGAAGGTGGACATAGATCTCATGCGCACCTTCGGAGAGCAAGGCTATTCCACGACTAGCTACGAGCGTGTGGCTACTGGGTATCTTTTCTTAGACTGGTTTGCCATTCCACAGCTTACCGAAAGAGCCGATGGGGTGAATGACGATGCCACAAAATCAGATACAGCTCGCGCAGTTCAGAGCATTCCAGCATATGTAGAATCTTGCGATATGTTCGTGGCCCTCGTCCCTGACCTTGTTCACAGTGATACCAGGCTGCAATGCAACTACAGCACTTGGCTTTCTCGAGGCTTGGCCGGGATGCCCTGCAAGACATTGCGATTAGAATTGCTTGCATTTTTGCTGCTGTTTCTAGCGCTATTGCTATCGCTTGTTCTGTTCAGTTTCGCCTGCCGTTGCATTGCTCTTGTTGCTTTGTGTTACTAGGGCTGTTCAGTTTCTTTTGTAGTACGATTGCTTTTTACGATGACTTTTCTGGTGCTTTTGCCTTGACTACCGCTATTGCCCTTTGTATCGCCACTACTATTCCGGTTCAGTTCCTATGACTTTTAGTATTACTATCACTATGCCAATTTCTGTCTATAACTATTACACTTGCTCTTACTCCTTAGTTACGTTTCCATCTCTGCTTTTGGAACTATTACCAGTACTGCCTTCCAACGCGGGCACTTTATAAATCACCATTCATCACCATCACTACTTTGATTAGAACTACTATTGCCTTTATTTTTCCGCTGCCAGTACTTGCATTACTTCAAAGGCTGTTTTCAATACTGCTACAGGTGCCGTTTCTTTTGCTTGTTTCTGTGACCATCGCTATCACCCTGTCAACTACCTCTTGGTAATGCCAATCCTACTACAATTAAAGATTCTACTGTTATTACAATTGCTATTGCCATGACTGCTTCTGGTACTGTTATTATGCTATCAGTGTGTATACTATCTGTTGCCCTTGCTTTTACTCATTACGATTGCTTGAACTTATTATTGCATGTTTGATGCTGTTTTCATTGACCGTGCCTGGTACTATTCAGATTGCTGTTGTTTCTGTTGCTATTCTCCTTTACAACTATTGCAGTGCTTGTGCTGTTGCTGCTTCTGTGTCGATCACTTTAGTGTTTGTATTGCGTGTGCTGCCGTGCCGATTACTATCACTATTACTATTTCTATTTATTTCTTGTTCTCTTACTAGCTTAGTATTGTTTTCCAGTTGCAACAATTGCTATGTGTGTTTTCTACTATTGCTGGCTTCTTCCTTTACTATTGCTATGTCCAGCGTTATGACTAACATTCTTCCTACTGCGACCACAACTTCTACCACTACCACGACAACAACAACAACTACTACTGCTATTGCTATTGCTATTGCT